CCCTTTGAAGAGGGATGGCGATCTGCATGAAGTCAAATTGTGGCATTATCAGTAATCAAATTAGCAGCTTCCTGAACAGCATTTAGGGCTCGTTCTTCTGACGTAACTGGCAGATACAGGGGAAAGTATTACAGTGCCTTTTAGTAATCTGTAAGACTTGTTCTTTACTTAGCAGGAAAGAAGTTTCTGGTTTGTGGAAAATACTTTTTTTTTTTTTTTTGGTCTGTGCTTAGTAGCAATGAGCAGGGAAACTACTCTTGACAAGTTTTGAACCTTGCCGTGGGTTTTTACGGGAATGTTTCACTAACAGGACATACCCTTTTCCCCTTGTGTAGGCGTTACACTAATAGCAATGTGATTGGAATAGTTGGCTGTTGCAATGTGCATGAATTTGGTTACCCAATCTGTCCTGTTTCTCCAACTGAGTGATTAAGAAAACATTGAATTGCTCTTCTGAATATCCCTTACTTAACTGGTAAATGTGGCTAAACTGAACTCTCTATGGGTGAATAAAATAAACGTGGTGTGTACAACTTGCACCTGTTCCTTTAAGTTAGTTCCTGGTGCAGCCAAGAGCGTGTGTTACTGTAGTGATGCTTCTAAAAGGTGTCCTGGCCTGACTGGAGGCAGCACTGCCCAGCACCCGGGCTCTCCCTGGGCATCCCTGTTCCTCAGCAGGGTCATCACACCGTGCTGGAGTCCTCATGTGGGTGGGAGCACATCCCCAGCTCCGGCGCTGCACTGCCTCTGCCCGGGGGCATAGGGCTGGCCAGGAACTGTTTTGTACTCCAGGCAGTGTGCACTGCTCGCCTGGCTCCCTGCCTGCTGTTGTTGCAGTGCCTCAAAAGCAGTGCCTGTACTTGAGGATTATAAACTGCTGTTGTGTGGGTGATGGGTGTGCAGTGCCTGAACAGAAGACATGAATGTGGCAGTACTTGGCTGGCAGCTCTCTTATTCCACCCTGCAAAAGCATTCAAAGTTCAAACCTTTGGGGGAAAGAAATTATTTTTCTGAGCAGCATCCTTCCCTTGCATGTAAAAGTTTTGAATCATTTGAAGCCTGAGGATATAAGATGATTATTCAGGCCTGCCTGCCACAGAAATAAAACGGATACCTTGCATCTTCAGAATCGACACCAGCCAAGAAAACCTAAAGAGGCAGACAGAGAAGTTGGGCACAGTGTGGCTTTTGAAAGAAGGATCAATGAAAAGCTGTTTCTGCAAGTATTGATGTCATCTGCAGTCATTTTGCAGTTGTGCCCCTTTAGATGAGGGGGCCAGGAACTCCAGGTCTTCAAACAGCTGGGACAGGAGCTGAGAAATAGGAAAAAGCAACAGCAGCAAGTGATGAAAATGTAGCTGGAAATCACAGGAAGGTGGAATCTGTTTGAATGATTTAAGGGGTAGACACATATGGTTCAAGAATCTGATGAAATATCTTTCTTACCAAAACCAAATACCTAGTGGAAGTGCTGTCAGCAGTAGATGATGTCAGGGATGTTATTGTATTTGCTATGGAAAAGCTTCTCAATATCTACTTTAAAAAAAAACAAAACCCAAATTATTTGCAATAAAAAAAGATAAATTGTGCTCAGGAATGGATTGGAAACATGGGTTTGCCTTGAGCCAGAGAACAATCTCTGTCCTGTGTTTGTAGGGGAGAAATTGGTCTCAGTGGGGTATCTGTTGTATTGAGAGGCTGGAGTTGTTAGAAGCTTGGAATAATGTAGAGATCATGCCACTGTTGTTATCCCAACTGATGTTCAGAATGGCTCTAACGAAATACCTGCTGTTAGCCAGAAAACATGTGCTCTCTTAAGTAGAATTACAACATTTCTCCAGTATTCTGCACTTTTTTTAATGTACCAATTGAAGAGTTGATACAGGAGACAGTTTTGAATGGTTGTGCTTGGGAAAAGCATGAACTTCCTTGTAGCAAAACCAGCCTATCAACAGGGTTGATTCAGAAAGTTCCAGAAAGATCAAGGAAGGTTAAAAATTACTGTTTGCCTGAATAGAAATGGTTGTTACTGGAAACCAGTTCCCTCAACTGAAATACTGCTTGGGCCAGCTGTTGAGGGCATCAGGTGCAGTGGAGTTATCCTGTAAGTCATGGGCTGAGGATGGCAAAGTGCAAGCAGTTGGATACTGTTAATGTTCTTCTGCTGACCTGTTGATAGTGCTGATTTAAGAATGTGCTTTTATACAACATAATTCATGGTATCGTAACGTGTTTAAAGGTAGGCAAATACTGGCTAATCAAGAATTTCCTTCCTTTCTGTGTTAACTTGTTAATCATGCTGTAAAATAAAAATTCTTGCTTGTTCAGTAAGCAGTAAAATCTTCTTTCAGGACATTTGGTGCATGCAAGTAAACTTCATCTGTTTCAGGTAATTAGCACTGCATTAGCACAACATGGCAACTGGTGTTTAAACACAAAGTAATTAACCGTACATTGTAAACACAGTGTGCTCAAGAGCTAACCAAAGCCATGAATTCATAGCTGATCAAAAATAACACACTAGAAATGTCGTGGGGGGAGCAGTTAATATTTTCTCCTGTGTTGCTAGATTATTGATACGTGGTTAGTGCCAAATGGGCCAGAAGAGAGAGAGTCAGACACTTCAAGCTGGTTCCAGTAGCACTGTGTGCAATTACAGCTCTTGCGTGGGCTTTTTGTTGGTTTTTCTTTGGTTTTGCTCTTCCTTAGTGTATAGTGGTGTACTGGCTCAATGACCTGGAAGGTGTGCAGGGTTTTTTGTAGTCTCAAATTCTGGTTTGGTAGCCTTGCAGTTTCACAGCTGGCACAAAATGTTAGAGATGTGTGATAGCTGATGGTCCAGCACTAGGGAAATGGATATAGGGTTGGATACATAACTTATCCAGTAGTATGGTTTTCCCTCTCCAAAATAAATTTGGGTTCATTTGTCTAAAAAATGGAACTGTGTCCATAGAAAGCATAGATTCTGTATGCTGGTGTTCCCAACTGGGCTAATCCAGCGGGGAAACGAAAGACCAAGTTTCGTACCAACTGTAACACCAAGTTATGTGTACATATGTCTGATAAATGCATATCTGAACTTCTGAATAACTGAGAGTTCTTACTGTTTGGGTAGATAACTACCTGTCCCACAGACATGGCAGGGAAGGTAGCAATCTGATGAGTCCTAAGTGGGCTGGAGGTACACCCCTGTCACTGAAAGTGAGTTCTCCATTTAATACTGCTACTTTGATACGTCAGATGGGTTTTGGGGAGGACAGGAGGAAGCAGTTCCAAGATAAAAGCTGAAACCAGAACCTGATCTTGGAGCAGAATTTTGTCTCTTAATCAGTTTGCCAGAAAAAAAGGTTAGGTGTCAAGTGAAAGCATGACTAGGGCCTGAAAGCTTCTTCTGGTTCTTTGGACCCAAGCCGGCTCCCTGACGTATGCAGCAGAATTGGGACTGAAAACAAATTTAAATTTCTGGAGGCTTTGCATGAAGCAGGAGAGAGTCCAGCTCCTTCTTTGCAGCCTGACTGGTAAGTGTGCAAATGCTGGAGGAAACAAAGAATAAACTAGTCAGCAATTCAAGAGCCATAAAATGGACAACTACAGTGCGTAGTAAGCTGTGGACAGATATTTGCTTCTGATCCAACGTTACTAGATAAGCTGGGTAACAAAGATCTGCTGTTTAAAAATATTTACCCAGCTCATTTTACTGACAGGCTAATGGAGCTGTTCATGTAAACATCTTTTAACAAGTACAAAGGGCTACAACCTTTAGTGGGAAGATGATAACTGAACAGGTGGCACTGGCCTGCTGGATAATAGAGCCTGGTACCACAACTGCTGGTGAAGTGCACACTGCTTCCCCACCACATAATCATTCTTCTGAGCTGCTCCTTAAACGTCAGCAAAGGCATTTTGTTAGTTCAGCTTGGCGGTTTGATTACAGTGCTCCTGAAAAATAATTCAGTTATTGAACTGGTAGACTTGCTGTCTTGACAAGGAAGGTGAAGTGCTGCCTCACAGCCAGAAAGGCACAGCTGCTGTTCTAAGTCTGATCCATCTTAGTGGATGGTCACTAGTGGCTCTGCAAAAACTGGAATGACAAAGACTACATAGAATCGTTGAATTGTTCAGGTTGGAAAAGATCCTTAAGATCATTGAGCCCAATCATAAAGCATGATAAAACACATGATGAAATAAAACTTAAATTTCTACTTCCTATAGACCAGTTCAAACAGGTATGCAAGAGAAGCTGCTGTCCTACACATGGAGACTTCCACGTGTTTCTGACCTTACTTTGAGTTTCAGATTTGCTTTATTTAAAAGAAAATATTTATTGTTACATGTAGAAGGAACTGAGATTTAGGAGTGAAGAATTTCAGTCTGCTGTGGTAGAATGAGGCATCTGGAACTCAGAAGTGCTTCTAGTGGGGAAAATAGGAAGGTTGTGCATTGAAAATGAACTATAATTTCAGAACACTTCCTAATATTGCCGTTCATCTACGTATCAATATGTATATTTTTGTTGTTGTAGCTTTTTTTTGTTTGTTTTTTCTACCTAAAATTGTGTCATGTTCTTCCTCCAAGATCATCTAAGATGGTCTAGAAGGGTCTGATAACGCTCTCCATTCTTGTCCATGATTGTCAATTGTTATGAATATATTTTTCTCCTTGTCTTTCTTTGACTCTATTTTTTCATTCAGTGATACTAAGAATGAGGTAGTTAAGCAGATGTGAAGGGGATATTGGCTAAAATATAGGTGTGTTTTATTCAGTGAAATAAGTCTGCAGTCAATTTCTATAGTAATGGTCCATAAGTTGACTAGACAGCTTTAAATCCACTGAGTTGAAGCAGGTCCAGTGTTTTAATTGTCAAATGACTGACCTCTTGCCTATAACCTGCCCCTTGTGTTTGGCTTAATGCTTGAAAATAAAGATGTTTGAGAAGGAGAAAAAATGCATTTAACAGAGTATTACATTTTCTTCCCAGACTCTGACACATCTCTGGGACCTGCAATGACAAGTCGGAACAGTAGCCATGCAGAGAAAACTGGTGGAATGTCCTCAAAGCAGTCGGCACCTAAAGTGCAGGTCCAACGATCTGTCTCCCGAGAAAACATCACTATTCATTTCTCTGCATTTGGGAAGGAGGAAGAAGAGGAGGAAGAGGAGTTTAAGGAATTTCTTGATGAGGAACTAGATGACCAAAGCATTGTAACAGCACTTGAAGCCAAGGAAGACCTCTGCTTTGAGCATACTGGCCATGATTTTTCTGGTCCAGCTACCTCGCTTAACATGGCCATCTCTGCACCACTGCTGTCCTCATCGCCTGCAGTTCTGCCAACTGAAGAGACTGTGAAGCTGTTGGATTCTCCTTCCACGTCCCAAGTACTCAGTACAGTGCCACTAGTCCTGTCTCCATCGTCACACTCGTGCGATACTGTTAGCTTATCAGGTGCACCACCACCTGTTGAACAGAAATCCAGCCTCTCATCTTCCCCATCCTCATCCCCTTCCAGATCAGTTGCCTGCTCTAGTGGATCATCCACAGTTTCTAGTTCAAAGCCTTTTAAGGGTTTAGTCAAGTCCCTTTCAACAGATGTGGAACCAAAAGAACCCACCCCACCGCTGCGACATAGACAGTTAATGAAAACCTTAGTGAAGTCTCTGTCGACAGACACTTCTAAACAAGAATCTGAAGCTGTGTCTTACAGGCCACCTGACTCGAAGCTGAACTTACATCTGTTCAAACAGTTCACTCAACCTCGAGCTACAGGTGGTGATTCTAAAACTGCCCCCTCATCTCCATTAACATCTCCCTCTGACACTCGTTCCTTTTTTAAAGTACCTGAAATGGAGGCTAAAATTGAAGATACTAAAAGACGCCTTTCTGAAGTAATCTATGAGCCTTTTCAGCTGCTCAGCAAAATAATGGGTGATGAAAGTAGTAGCCACAGGCCCAAAGCCTTATCTTCAAGTGCTTCAGAACTCTCAAACCTTTCCAGTTTGAATGGCCACTTGGAAAGCAATAACAACTACAGCATTAAGGAGGAAGAATGTGATTCTGAAGGGGATTTCTATGGAAGTGACTCTAACCTGAGTAAAAATGATCAGTCAAAAGTGGCTGAAGAACATGCAGGAGAGACAGAGACCAAAAGCTCTCAGTCCGCAAGCACAAAGGATGTGAGTTCAAAAACTTCACTTGTACTTGAAAAATGTTCATTGTCTGTACTAGCAAGCAGAGAGGATGAGGAGTTCTGTGAACTATATGCTGAAGATTTTTCCTTGCTAGAGGATGAAGGCAAACCTGATAAACCTACTGAAACTTTGCTTGATACAGAGATGACTGAGGAAAATGGTACTATGCTCAGTAGTGAAGATGAAAATGCCCCATATGTGCAAGAGCCTAAAATACCAGTGAAAACTTTATGCTTTCTAACACTGTTAGTTTATGCCTATTTTATTGTCCCTCTCCCTGGCTACTTAAGTGGACTCTTATTTGGAATGGCCCTTGGATTTATGATAGCTGTCTGTGTGATTTGGCTTCTTACTCCACGTAGTAATGAATATACCAGGTTGCGTAACAGCATGAAGAGGCGATGGAGGACGAGAGCTCTGGACATCAAGGAACCTGAAATACTGAAGGTGAGGCCATGGCATTTTCTGTGTATACTTGTGTACATTATTTTGGATAGAGTATGTAAGACTTCAGTGTCCTTAAGGATTAGTAGAAAAACAGAATTGCTTCAGAAGTAAAAGGGCAAACGGTTTTGCTGGTGGATTTGAAATAATCCAGCTGAACTCCTGAGAGCAAGTAGTGTCAGAGTTTGGTGTGTAAAATAACATTTATGCTTGAAGCTGCATCTTGTGAGATATATTTTGTTTCTGGGGTATTTTACTGTGTAGGTAGTAATTTGTCTTGTCTGTTCAGTCTAAGCAGATGCAAAAGCATTGTGCTCGAGCAGAGCCTAGGTTGTTAGAGAAGAGAGCATATGGATTCTCCTCAAACATTAGCTGCCTAGGATGGGAGGAGGAATGAGTGATGAGAGGAACACACAGGTTATGATGTCTGGTTCTGTGTGCTGCTATCATGAGTATTGTACTGTATAATATGGGCTACAGTTCAGTAAAAAGTGTGCCTGAGAACTGGATTTTAAATCAAGCTTGTAGAAAATTTACCCTCCCTCCTCTTTGCTCTTCCCCATCTCCACTTGTTCAGATACCATGCTTGCTGTGGCTTCATACATCTGGCACATTGCTGTCTGTCCAGTTGTGGGCCATACAACCAGTCAGTTACTTCAGTGGCTTTGTGCTTCTTCCTTGTCGCTGTCCTGCCTCTCCTGTTCTCTATCTGTGATGAATTAAAATAATATTTTCCCAATTGCAGAATTTTGAACAGAAAGGCATCTGCTAGGTTCTGACATGCACTGGAAGTGTTTTGGAAAAATAGTGGTACAACCTTCCCTTGATGTCACTTGCTCTATGAGAGCATTTGTGAATGTTTTCTTGTATTCATGTAAATATTAGATCCATCCTGAACTTTCTGAAGGTGCATTTCCAGTTGTGCAACAACACAAAGGTGGTGTGAATTTAAATTCCTACAGTATTGGCTATATGCTGTAGAATCTATAGTGCTCTGATAGAGATATAGATCTTGTGTATCTCTAGGTAACTGAACAGTTAGGGAAGTGGTGTATAAAAGCCAACTTTTCCTGAATACAAGCAGCAATTGCATGCCTGGCCCTGATGCTGCCGTGGTGTCCCCTGCTTTTATGGAATGTTGTGGGTGGTGCTCTGCTTTTGCTGTTGTGAATGCAGCCTGAACAGTCCTGACTGCTTTACCTGCTGTTCACATGTACAAGCCTTCACAGACTTTAAGTTCTGTTCTTGCTAATTGGGTGCTGAGAAATTTACCTTGATACTTGAAAGCTGGTAGAGATCCTGATCCTCATTGTTGGCTGGTGTTAAGATGGCTCTTTGAGGTGTCAGCTGTTATTTAGGAACCTTTGAATTATAATTTATTGCTTTTATCCAGGAGATGCATTTTATGAGAATGGCTGTAGGCAAGAAATAAACTGTGCAGAGGAGTCTGTATGAATGTGGATTGTTTTGTATGACCTGAGAAGTATTTCTTGCACTCATTAACATTGTCCCTAATAGTAAAGCTGTATAAAAGGGTCTTTTAATGCTTCAGTTCAGAAACCAGCTCAGTGCCCATACTGTAGTGGAACGTAACGTAATGGGATTTGGCAGATTGCAAGTTATTATTCCCCCCTCATACAATGGTTTACTATTTGCCTCAGTACAGTTTAGATCCTCTGAAAAATGAGATGAAGTTTTAATCTGTAACAAAACTCACATGAATATAAGAAAATCAGACTTGATGCTCTTGCATAAAAACGTTCTCCTCGGGTCTCATTGGTCTTGTATTCTGGCCTGAGCTGCTGTCATGCCATTGTGGTTATGATAAAGGCTATGAGTAACTTCCCTTTATGGTGCTCTAGGAGTTGGGATTCTGCCAAACTGCTGTTAAGCTATTTTTATACAAGTACGTGTGCGTTCTCTGCCATGTAAATAGTGTCTGAGGAGTTGGCATTTCCCTGGTTTCAGGAACTACTTGAAAATTCTCTTGAGCTACTACTAAGATACCTGAACATTGATATTGCGTCTCCCAAAATTGTTCCTTTGCAGTGTGAAAGAATCAAACACGGTTATGCTGGTTAGTGTGTGCTTCTGTAGATTGTGTAGATCTTTCACTCAAATGTCTTTGGTATTGGAGGGAGAACCTCCCCACCTCCCCAGCCAGAAACTGCACACAATCCCCACCATTTTCAGTGTATGTTTTCTTATCTTCTTACTCCCTTAGCCTTTGGTTCTCTGGCTTCCTTTTCCTTTTTTGTTTCTCTACTCACTTTTTTTTTTTTCTTTAATGCATTAGTGTTTTCTAACTTCCTTATTGGCCTTCTCAAGTGTGAATTCCCTTGAGTTTTGCTGGCTGATACAAAAGGTTTTGAGTAACAGCTAAAATGGAAATGATGAATTCACCCTCTCCATTAGAAAGGACTTTTATGAGAAGACACTGTTGGCAGTGCCTGCTGCAGAAGTGAAGCTTTTTGAACCACAGCTGTAGGAAAAGAGGAGGCTTTTTACCAGCATGCTGTTCCAGAATTCACCCGGGCAATTTCAGGTGTGGTAGTGGCCTCTGGCAGAGAAATGTATTTTTTAGTTAAGGTGATGGTTACTTCTGCCCTCCTTAGACCTTTTTCATGTCCTTAGATTCCCTCTTAGTAACAGCTGAAGAAACTGCATTATACTTTTCTTATTTATCCAGCAAAATACTATTGAAGTATTATAAAATAGTGGTAATGAGAAAGATATTAATACAATTAGCATGATTTAAGTGGTCAACAGTCTTTCAAGAATTTCAGTGCTGAAGCATTCAATTGTATTATTTAATGATCATGGATATTAATCAGTCTGTTAATAGGACTAAGAAACTTGGGAGGCAGTTTTAATCCAGATTTGGGCTTGTATTGTGAAGTTTACCTGCTGATTCTTTTTTTTAATGTATTTGAAAATCTCGCAGAAGTAATGATTGTGCAGATCATTACCTGCAGACCTGATCTGTGCCCACAGCCCTGTGGGTCCTTTGTAAGCATCTTTTGCAGTTCCCCCAACCTTCCCTCTCAGGTTAAGATATAATATGCCTGAGATCTTAAACTAAATAATGTTTAAAAGTTGATACTCTGGAGGGCCTGGCTCTGCAGTTCTTTACTGAGATGAATTATTCTGTTGAACTGCAGTTCGAATAAAAGTTTGCAGCCTGGAGTCCTGAAGAACTAAACCAGGGTGAGCCTTTTAAAGCTGTGGTGGAGGTGGTGTGCTGCACTCCCAGAGCCAGTTCAGCCTCTGGCTAACAAGCAGGCTGGCTCCTGCTGGCATGTGGGGGGAAGGTTTGAATATATCTGTGACCTTTGCCATGCTGCCCAGTATTCGCACTGGATACTTCTTCAGGTTAGTTACCAGGCTGGTGGTGAGGCACTTTCTCCTGATTTCAGCTGTGGATTCAGAGCAACTGCTGACCTTTATAAATGGAGATCACAGGATCAGTGTAAATGGCAAGCAGCTGCAGAGGAGCATATGACTATGGTCATTGTCCTCCCTGAATTACTAAATTTCTTATTTTAACAACTTTGCTAGTATGAAAAAGACCCATCATACAGTCACTTTGCCCCTACACAAGGAAATCCATTGTTGTTTGGGAAAATTCATCTGTCCCTAGCATGTTATGGTAACATAACTTCTCTGTTTAGATGCATTGCAAAATGGTTTCTGTAGGCTGTGAATCTTTTGTTCCAATTTGTTTTTGCACATAGAGGGATGGAGGTATTTCTGCTGCAATTGTTCTTAAAATACAGAACTTTGAAGTTAATTTTGGGGGTTCTTGGATAACATAAAAAATTGGTTTTATGCTAGATGAAACAATTTACAAAAGTGAGACTTGCTCAAATGAGAAGGCAGATTGTGTCGTTTCCCCCTTTAACCCTGTTGAATATATGGGATTCCTGTGCAGTTCCTGCAGCTGGCATACGTGCATTTTCAGATTCCTTAAGAGTGTGAAGAGTCATCATTTGGTGAAATACTAACATTTCACTGTCAGCCATGCAGTGTTTCTCTGTGTTACAAAATAACTTGCAAATGGAGTGCAAAAAGGAAACAGTGCATCCTTATAAATGAGGAAACTAAAAATTAGTGTAGGAGGAGGGTTTGTAGCAATGCAGTATGGCATCTCTTTCATTCTGCCTGTTGGCTAGGTACAGTTTGAAACAAACCCCCAAATATTTTAATTTAAACTTCTATATATTTTGGTTTTTTTGGCTATGCCTCATATGTGAAGCAGCCAATATCTTCCTTGTATGGAAATCACTAATTAGGCTGCTGTTTCAGGCAGTAAATGTATTTATGTTCTCTTAGCTCTAGATTTTGTGTGTTTGGTACCTTAGGCAGCCAGAAATAGTTGTTAGAAGTCTTGGACGGTTCTTCAGTTGCTGATGACCTGATGGTTGTGCTGTGGGGAAGCAGTGTTGCACTTCTGTTGGCTTTGTTATATGCAGGGGAGGAGGCAGCAGGACAGGGTTTGAGTCTTTCTGCTGCTGGGAAGACTGGAGCAATCTTCAAAAGGACCACTCCTCTGCTGCTTAGTTGTGTGGGGCAAGGAAATCTTCTGGCAGAAAGGCTGGTACTGGCACTATCCCAGAAGAACCGGGGTACAAAGGGTGCTGGTCTAGTGCTAGTCAAGAGAATGATGTGTAAATCACTCCCTGTTTTCATCACTGCATGTCCTCAGCTCATCTCAAATGCTGGTGTCACGAAATACCAATGCTGGTATCACAAAATTCCAGCCAGTTTCATCTCGAGCAGGACATTAAAGAAACTTCATGTGTACACTGACCTTCCTTCTGCACAAACCCAAAGGTTTCCAACTGAAAATAACACCATAGCTTATTACAGTTATAAAAACAGCATCTGTGGTTAAACTTCATAGAAAGATCCACTCTTCACATATCCCTTTCTCATTGTGCCAGCGTGTGTGGTCTTCAGCTGGACTTCCTTACAGGAGAGGGGGATAAACTTTTGAGGCAGCAAATTCTGGTCTGTATGTTTGCCTGGCTGCAGGCTCCAGACTTCAGCGTCTGAGCTAGAAATAGCTCAGAGATGTGATCCAAGGGGCAGGTGGGAGTCTCTCCAAAGATCTGTGGGCCATATGGATATTCCAGTTCTGCACAGAGTGAATGGCTCACAGTGGCTTTAGGCAACTCGCGTGCTGTCCTTGTGCTTCAGTAAGTCCATCTGGAGTTCCTGGCTGAAAGTGAATTGCTGTCTGCTCAAAGATGTCTTGGCTTAATAATTTCTAGGAAGGAAATGGGATGAGCTCAAACAAACGTCAACCCTGCTGTGCAGAACCTTGATGGCTTATAGGAAACTCTTCTTCAAGCACTGTATTTCCTATATAGTAGTTGTATATAACCCAGTCTAGGGAAAAACCCAAGCACAATGCTTCTTCACAGGGCCTGTGTTGGTATGGGTATTTCTGTTAATAAAAGAAGTAGTCTGCTTTGGAGCTGACAAAGATGAGTGACTTAATCTTTCCTGAACATAAAAGAAATGCTAATTTATGTAGGTTTTTCAGGGTTTATAGTGAAAATGGAGCTAGATGTTGGAATGAGCAAGACATAGGTATCACTGTTACTATGGCACCTAAGAAAGTGTATGCTGTCTACTTTGAGAAATTATATGGCACTGAAGTAAATGAGCATTAAAATAAATTCTACATTTCTGTATGTGGGTGGAGACTTCTGTAATAAATTAAAACAATTCAGTAATTTCTGGGATGTTTTACATAAGACAGTTACAACTACTTTGTTTTGAGAGTGCTAGAGATGCTCGTTGAGCTCTCCCCACTTCCCAGCAGCAGATGCTCTCCCCCTCACTATGCTCACCAAGGTATTAGTAGAGATGTCATTTTACTTTGTGCTCTTGGGTGTGACTGTTTAAGTCTATCTGCTTTGCTTTCTGTTGACATTAATGAATACTGACTATGCCAGATTGAGGTTTTGATGTGCACATAGAAGCAATTATCAAAGTATGTTGTAGGGCAGGTTAATAGAAGGAAAACTCGTCGTCCTTGAATGAGTATTCTGGCTTGTCTTCTGCCCCATTTACCATCCTGCTTTTTCTGTACACAGATGGTGGAGACTCAGTAACATCACCTCCATGGTTAGAGTCAGCACTTAAAAACTTGTTACAGCAGGGCTCGTTGGTTTGTTTTCTGTTTCTTTCACTGCACAGAAACAAGTGAAATGTAATCCTCACGTGTATGACTCCTGTGTTGTATCTGAGCAGTTACACAGTGTGTTAAATTATGTTGGTGTATTAAAACAAACTCCACTGTGGTCTTCCACTCAGCCCTTAATTGTTGGTGATTAAACTGTCAGTGCTGTCGATAAGCAGACAGACTGTTCTGCCTTGGCTGTTGGTGATGGAAATGCCCATGCTGTGGGGCTCTGCAGCATGCCCTTACTGGCTGCCTTGTGGCTCTTCCCAGCAAGCCTGCAGCTGCAGACCGTGCAGCCTTTCGTGAAGATGAGGTGGGAGGGCACTGCACTATATATACAAAATGATTTAGTCAGAAAAAAAACAAATTGTGTGCTTGAGACACAGCCCTCAACTCATGCCTTGTTAGTTTGGTAGCACCTCATGTAGGGCATTTCCTGCTTTGTTATATTTGTGTAATAACTGAAATAACTTTAGCAAAAGCTTGGATAATTATTTAAAACTTCTATGTGCATGTTGTAGTTGTTTTTCCAGCAGCAGCTTAAAAGTCTGTTAATAAGTGGTTTGGGTTTGTTTTGTTTTTTTTCCTCTAGGGATGGATGAATGAAATTCATAATTATGATCCAGAAACCTACCATGCTACCTTGACTCACTCTGTCTATGTGCGGCTTGAAGGAAGCACCTTACGACTTTCAAAACCCAATAAAAATATTTCTAGAAGGGCTGTGTACAATGAGCCAAAGCCTGAAGTCACGTATGTCAGCCAGAAAATTTATGAACTTACAGAGAGCAAGGTGAGTGTGCCTTATAGCTGATTTTAACAAAGAACACTGGGAAAGTTTTTTAAAAATTCTGGTGTTTTTTTCACACTTATATTTTCAAGTCCTGTTATTATAAAAACAAAGCTGTTGTCGTGACTACCTTGCAAAAGATTGTGCTGGGGAGGAAGATTGAGCAGGATTTAGATAACTTGCATATTTACACAGTCAGGGAAAAGCATGATTTTCCTCTCTCAGTTCAGAGCAGAAGAACACATGGGAGTTCAGAGAATTGTTCCATGTATTAAGCTACTGCGTGACTGCTCTGAAGCTTGCACCAAAATGCATAATCTTTGTTGGTTGTATCTATCCCAAGGCAGTTCAGACAACATTTACATTTCATGTGAAAGGTACATTGTATGTGGATGTAAAAGAGGAGAACAAGAGGTAACTGAATGTGACCCACTGCCTGGGGAGGGAGATGAAGAACTCTTCCAACTGCAAAAATCCTTAAGAATAATGCTGGGACACTTCTCCTACATGCTACTTGCCTCCCTCAAATATACAAAGAGTTGCCACATGAAGTTGATTCTATTGCCATTGTATTATTTAATATGTCAGTACCTCATTATTAAAAGAATGGGTGATTTTTAATGTGCTGCCTCAATAGAGGGCCTTGGTGGTAAGAATGTAGGAGAAAACGGCTTCAGTTGGCTGTGGGAACTAGAGGGAGAAAGAGACCAAGGCAACTGAGGAAAACCTCCCTTCATCTCACTGAGTTTGGAAAGGATCTTGCTGTCAGCTCTGCTTTGCATTACAGGCAGACAATGAAAAAAAAATAAAAGGCAAAAACTTAGATCCCTGCCTATTGCAGGTTTGTTTTGCTGTAATGAAGACAAGCAAAGCTATCACATGCCGTAAGAGCACTTGACTGACAGGCATTCCCTGTGGTATCTCAGAAAAATTTTCAGTACTCCCTTACCCCCTCAACCCAGCCCCAGTTGTTTATAGAAATGCCAAGTGCCCTGACTGTAATAAGCAAATCCTGGCTCTTCTCCAAGGCATTTACCCATAGTTTTCACAGAGCACTGTAAGTTCAGGCCCTAGA